CTCCTGTTCTTTTTGTCAATACTGTGAGAACTTCTGGGAAGCTTTTATAGTGTAATGTGATGAACAGGAGCTGTGGTAGGTAACTTGCTCTCAGGATCAGGCCGAACATTCTCCCACTCAATAACATCATTGCAATGATGCAAGAACCAGGGCTCACCCACTGACATGAATAGGCGGCAAGTTTAAAACAAACAAAAGGAAGTATTGCTTCACACAATGCACAGTCAACCTGTGAAACTCTTTGCCAGAGGATGTTGCGAAGGCCAAGACTATAACAGGGTTCAAAAAAGAATTAGATAAGTTGATGAAGGATAGGTCCATCAATGGCTATTAGCCAAGATGATCAGAGACGCTACCCTGCCCTCTGGGTGTCCCTAAACCTCTGACTGCCGGAAGCAGGGACTGGACGACAGAGGATCGATCACTCAATAAGTTGCCCTGTTCTGTTCATTCCCTCTGAAGCACCTGGAATTGGCCACTGTTGGAAGACCAGCTGCTTGGCTACATGCATCATTGGTCTGACCCATTATGGCCATTCTTATGTTCTTAATGTATTGTGGAGGTATTTGGTTATTCTTAATCACAGACCTGTCCACAAAGAACACAAGGGCATCTGACCAGTACTTACCCTTAGACAAATTGTCAGATCCTAAGAGCCTTCGTCAATGTTTATTCAGGCAAATTCTCATTGGATTCAAGAACCCTGCTAGCAACAAGCAAGCATGAGCAGTTACAACTAGTATATTTCGGGTCCAACTGTTAACAGGACCCTAAAAACAAAATAGGATGGGAGGGGCAGGGAAAATCTTGTCAGCATCAACTGTATGGAGAGGTTCAGTGACACAAAAGGCTCTGAGCTACAGTTAAACCTGCCTGTGTTTGTGCTGTGTCTCACTTAGCAGCTCAACAATAGACTAGTGGTGAGCACCTGCACCTAGGGTGACCAGACAGCAAGTGTGAAAAATCGGGGGGGTAACAGAAGCCAATATAAAAAAAAACCCAAATATCAGGACTGTCCCTATAAAATCGGGACATCTGGTCACCCTACTTGCAACTTGGATCCAATGAAACCAGAATTTGGCCCTTTGCAATTACAAACCAATGTTGTCTGCTGGATATAATAGCTAATGGCCTGATTCATGGAAGCCAAGGAAAGACTCCCATTGACTTCAATAAGCACAGGATTAGCAGAAGACCAGACTATCAGAATGAAGACCTGCCACGTGGATATGAAAGAAAAATTTTTTTAGTTGACACTAGAGTTGGGATTAACACAAAGGGATCTGAACACACACGTTGACTGACAGAATGTTTCAGCCAAGCAAGTCTTTAGAATACTCTTATGGTTTCACTTGAGTTCTGTGGTATGAAATCCCCTTGCACATTGAGTGAGGCGGATGAGGAAATAACCTGACGCTCTTATTTCTTAATAACTCCTTATTTTACAATTCTAATCGAGTAAGAGCAGCTTTTCATGCCTCCTTAGAAGGCAACTTCCCTTAATAGAAAATCTTGTAATATCCTCAATTGTACTGAGAAAATCTTTTAATATTCTCAGTTGTACTGAGTCCACTTACATTTTACGTTTCAGATCACTTCTGCTAAGCAGCAGCTAATTTTTATCAGCTCTGTGGTCATTTAAAACTTGTTTCTGCGCTGAACGGGCCCATGTTCCTTTATGTGAATTAGTATAAAAATAAAATACTGTACTGAAAAATAAGCCAGTAATAGCAGACACATCTAGTAATGAGGTGCTTGGGTGTAGTTTATATCCCTGATCTCTCTCCCCCTCCCCCTCCCCCCTTGTGTTTTAATTCTATCTGCCTAATAATGAAAATAATTATAATGTAGTTGTTACTGGGAACACTTTTCAGGTAATGCAGCCTGTCTAGCAGGTGTATGCGCCTCACCTGTGTACAATGCACACCTCCAGTTTGTCTTCTTCCAGCCCTACCATTTATTTAAAGCTAGGGATGCACATAACTTGCTCTACCTATATACAGCTATATATCTGTATACTGTAAATATAGAAGTACCCCCAGATCTTTGGACCTGTCTATATTGACATTTGAAATGATCTTAGGACCTTCATAGAGAACCATGTCTCTGAGTACATCCTAGAAAGGTAGACTATAGTGTCTAGCATATATTGTAGACCAGCGGGGCTGCAGTTTCAGTATATGTTGAATAGTTTTTCTGGGCAGGAGACTTTATACAAATTGTGCATGCTATAAACCAGTGGTTCTCCAACACTTCACTTTGTAGAAGAAAGCGTCTTTCCTGGACCAGCTCCGCCTCCAGCAACCCAATTCCCCACTGCTTGAGTTTAATTTTGCAGGCCATGAAGCAGGACTCCGTGAGCCACAAGAAGTCCATGGGCCTCAGTTTGAGAACAGCTGCTTCAGGCTCTATTATGAAATGGCTTGCAAAACAGTGTTATTAAACGAAGTCCTTGCATTTTCTAATAAATTGCTATCACAGTTTCAAATTTCATTGTAGACGGGGCCCAGTACTAGAGCTACCATCCAAAGCAGGGCTGGGATTTTTCAAAGGAGGCCATGGGAATTAGGCATCATACTCCCAGTGAATGCCAGTGGGATTTGGGGACCAAACTCTCTTAGGGTGCTATGAAAATAGATCCTCACGGTTACTGGTTATATTTCACCGTTAAAATAAATGTGTCTGAGTGGGTCAGGTAGGAGATATCAGTTTAGTTTTAGTGCCATCTGCTAAGAAATAGTGTAAACACAGCTCTGCATCAGGCAAATCGTGCTAGGATGTTTTTCCAGTGACCAAGCATTCCCTGGGCTCCGAGGCATGGGACCTGTCCATGTTTCCAAAGAAGTAACAACACATCGTTCCTCTTGAGCATTATTAGGCACAGCTGGGGTGGGAGACGTGCTCACCGCTGCAGGGTGGGATAAGGGGAGGTTTGCACTTGCAAACAAAGTAATTGCCGTGTTGATGAACACTTAGGTATTCCCAGTGATCGCGCTGTATGTGTAATGGGCAGTTTCTCTGTTGCATGCAGCACCCATTCAAAGCCGAAGTCCAGATGACCGTCGAGGGGAGAGAGCTCATCCTGGATGTTGAGAAGAATGAGTAAGTGTGCTTGTCCATCGTATGCCCTGTGCAGTCTGCTCCCGAAAGTGATGAATAAGGAGCTGATCCAGAGCCCAGTGGAGCGCTTCCTGTTGGCTTCACTGAACTTTGGATCACACTCTAAGGGCTGGTCTAAACCTAAAGCTTAGACTGACCTAGCGACATTGCTCAGGGCTGTGAAAAATGTCGTGCCCTGTGCGACATAGTTAGGTTGACCTAAGCCCCCACCGTAGACACAGTCATATTCATGGAAAAATTCTTCCTTCAGCCTCACTGTGGATTAACTATATCAATTGACCATCCCCTTTTGTCAATGTAGGAAATGTCTGTGCTGCGCCGTAGTGTGCCACTGTGGTTTAGACATACTCTGAGTGGGGGAAATGCGTGCCGCTCTTGTGCATGATAAGACTACTCTGGGTGGTAGAGTGACTTCTGTGGAGCTCTGTCAATGTATGCCAGCTGGCAATCTGTCCCACAGTATATAAACCCATGCCATGTAACAGTTAGTACCTGTGTTAACTAGACAATGATTTCTTGTTACTCTTTACCTGATGTTAGTGAGCTGGATTGTTCACCAAATGGCTCAATGTTTTTTTTTTTTATCAGTAAAAAGCTCTAATGTGGATTTTGTATGTTATGTTACTAATAAGGGATTCCACTCCAGGTCTCTTAGGAGGAATGACAGTGAAACTTATATTTCTCTAATGCCGCTCATCCTAAAGTGGCCTAAAGAAATGTTTTCACTTGCACTGACTACAGAAATTCAGCCACCTCTGGGGTAGAACATAGCAGCTGGTTGACAGCACACAGGAACAGTACATAATAGTTTGGGATAGGAAGCGAAGAAGAATACTGTATCCAAATGAAGCTACCAGTGGATATAGGTAGGCATGATGATTTAGCTGCTGGAGTTTGGATGTAGATTCTTTGGTACTTTTTATACCAGATCCTTTGCCAGGCAAGTGGATTAGATTCTAATGGTGGAAGAGCAGCCAAGACTTTTCTTATATAGCTGGCCCTTGCCAATTTTAATCCATTGATGTTGGATTTCTTTCTGTGTCAGATTTATATAGTGAGTTCCAGTTGAGTGTTTTTTCTCCTAGTACCCACTAATGTATTTATACCCTGGAATAATACTACTTACCATATTTAAGTATATAGTGCAGACATACCAGTCAAACCTAGGATCTCTCTTCTCCTTCCCTAAGAGTGCAAGGAAATGCTGCAATATGGATATACAACTGTAATTAGTGTTTATGGTGACATACAAACATAACTGATTTGCGGGATAGTTTGGAGGGGAGCCCCGCTTCTCTTGGCATGGTGTAAGGCAGTACCTGAAATCAGATGAAAGTAGATTCTGGGAAGGGGTTTCTGTGAAGGACTATATCCTAAGGAGAAGCTGCTGGGACTTTCAGCATTGAAGACACCGCAGAGCCAATTCTGCACTTGTGCTAACAGAAAAGGTTATAAATATTCTGCCTATCAAATCTTTGGGCTTTGAAAGTACCAAAGCATAGAGAGGGGACCAAACTCTACTGCCATTCCTAGCTAAGTCCTGTCTACAGAAGCAAAATGAACGGTTAGCCATTGTGAGCAGCAGCGATCTCTGAAGCAATGCTGTAAATTATCTAACTGCTACTGTAGATAGGACACCACCATTGGGGTCTATTTCCTTTGACTGTCAGGTCTTAAACCTATTGCAGCCTTTGTGCTTTGTAGTATTGTAGAGGTGAATTTATTCACAGTCCAGGAGGCTTTGGCAAAAGCAGAGTCCTGTCAGAAATCCAAGTAACAGGTTAATTCAGCGTATGATGACATAACCTCCAGGTGCCTCCTGGGAACTGTGCTGTGCTATTTCCATCAGAGGTCTGGCTCTCGGCATGTGTTCGTAAACAGAATGAGGCTCACACACCATTTGCTATTGTGTTTACTTCCTGAGGTAAGGCTTTCATTCAGCAAGATACACATACATACCCTTCCATCAGGGAGCATACTGGCTTACCAGGATTGATAAACACAGATGGCATTATGAAGTCCTACTATTTGAACAGATCTTATAAAAACACAGTACATAGAAAATATAGAGGATACAAAATCATCTTTAACACTGACTTCAGAGGAGTTTTTCCTGGGCACGGAGTGAAGGTTCAGGCTTATAGTCAGAGACAGAAGCCGAGACCCAGAGGAGAACGGGCAACAAGACATACATTTAAGGGAGAGCTGTTGGGATACTGGCTCAGTGAGCAGCTGAGAAGTGTTTGAGAACAGAGCCGTTGTTTGGATGTCACTTTCAAAGTCATTTCAGCGAGTTATAGGGGAATTCAAGGGCAGCGAAGAAGGAACGATGAAGCAGGCAGAAGAAGTGGGGGGCCTCAAGAATGTTGTGGATGCTCTAATAAGACGCCTTCCATCTGAGACTCTCCAGCCCTTTGCAAGCGTTAAGGAAAGAGTCCTCCTCTTGTCCCTGGCGCGTGCCTATGACAGAGCTGTTGGTTTTGAATGCAACAGTTGTGTTGCATGGCAGAAATGTTCATGCCACGTCCTTGATTTCACATTTATGAAGAGCACATTGTGCTCATCCCCAGGAGATGTAAACCAGGGGATATTGCATCTGTTCCCGTTAACATGCTACATTATTATTTAGTTTGTAATAAACTCAGCACCTATCTGACTGTGGACTCCATACACCTGAGTTCAGGCTTTGTGCGTTAGAAACTAATAACACCATTTTGTTGGTGTTGCTAGTATGAAAAAGGCAGAACCATGATTTCGTTCCAGTGGAATCTAGGCCATAGCATATAAAATCTGAGCAATAGCAAGAGAATATCCCCTAGTGCCATTTAATTCTTTTTTTTTTTAATAAGTCATTGAAACGCTCAAGTCCTGCAGCTGCAGAATTGGAAAGTCCAAGACTGCACGGAGAGAGAAATATATGGAGAGATGCCTATAAGAGCAATCATACATTTGGCTGTGGCTTAGGAATGGAAGAATCTGCATTCTAAACCTTGGATGAAAACAGAGGTTTTTTTTTTTTTAAAGGGACTTGTGTTTAATAAGAACCAGCTTTGAGCTGAAGAGAGGGGTGTACTGGAGGTGCAATGGAGAAGCTACGAATGTTGATCACAATGGTCCCTTCTGACCATGTAGCAGGTCTGCGTGCCATGAGGTTCCTCTCTATCAGGGAGAACAGCTGATACTTCTGTTGTACAAATCTGAGACTAATTTGTTTTCCCACCTGGCAACAGGAAAAGCGGTAGGGGAGAAAAACACTCCTCCCTGTCCTGTTTCCAGAGAGTCTCTGTCACAGGGTGACTGTTCCCTTTAATAGTTCACCTGCCTTCCAGTTGGGCTTAAGAGGAGGCACCTGAGCAGAAAGGGCAGGAAGGGGCAGGTAACAGCTGCCTGAGAACAGAGGAGCGACAGAAGGAGCCGAGAATAGCCTGTGGGACAGAGCTGCAGGAGAGCAGTCGCCGTGAGCTTCTATTGACAAGTTCTGATGGAAGCTGTTGGCGGGGGGGACTGGCTAGAGCTGGGGACCCCTGCCCAGTTGCAGGAAGGCTTGAGCAGAGGCCCCAAGGGATGAAGGGAGGAACAAGCTTGGTCAATGCAAGCTGGACCCTGAAGCAAGGCGTTGGCTCTGGACTCTTGATGAGCAGGGATAGGACATACAGGCTGGGAGGGCTGGAAGTGGAATGCTGCAGAAAACCTGAATGGAGGCTATGGGAGGAGCCCAGGAACAAAGGGTTTGTCCTGGAGCAAGATTCCCCTGATCAGGGATAGGACTGATGGGCAAGGGGGCCTGGGGGAGTGAAGCACTGCGGGGAGCCCTCTCCCTGGGGACCTGACTCGGAGCTCCAGGAGAAGACTCAAGGGAGAGAAGTGGATCTTGGAACTCTCATGGGAAGAGCCTGGGCAGTGGGGCCCTGGGACTGGTTAACAACTCTTGGGTGGGTAAACTGGGAAAAGAGATTCCATTCAAGGGTCAAAGAGCTTCTGCATTGTCATCTGGTCTGACTTCGAGGTTGTGGGAGGACCTGTGTTTACCTTGAGGGACCTGGGGACTGTTCTACTTTCTATGAGGGTATGTCTACACTACAGGATTAATCCGAATTTAGATAATTCGAATTTGGGAAACAGGTTGTATAAATTCGATTGTGCGCGGCCACACTAAGCACCTTAATTCGGTTTTTAACCACATTAATTCGGTGGTGTGCGGCCACACTACCCCATTAATTTAAACACAGTAATTCGGTGGTGTGCGGCCACACTAACCCTAATTCGAATTAACAAAATCGATTTAGGCTCTACTCCGTTCGTCGAGGTGGAGTACAGAAATCGATTTAAAGGGCCCTTTAATTCGAATTAACTGGCTCTGTAGTGTGGACGGGTGAAGGGTTAATTCGGATTAACGCTGCTAAATCCGAATTAATCCCGTAGTGTAGACCAGGCCTGAGTCAAAGGGGTTGAGAGACGATATTCCTTTGAAGGGAAAGTTGAGGTGGGTTGTACCTGTGCTGCCGAGGTTGGCCACAGGAGGGCGGCCGTGATGGGGTAATGTGATATGAACAGTGAGATTCGAAGCCCTCTCCCACCAGGAAAGGATGACTGGTGGGGCCGCACCCAGAGGCCATCCTATGACAGTCTCCCAGGCAAGGGAGAGGATCTGGGACAGCCATAGTTACCTGAAAACTGCAACAGTGGGCTCCCAGCAAGCAGAAAGGACAGGGAGGAGAAGGGGCTGCCAGACACTGCAGGGGATTGACTGGTGCCTAGATGTCCACCTACGCTGAGGACCATCAGTGATGGGTCCTGCCCTTCCTCACCACACATCAGCCTGCAGCTGCTGGGGAGAAGCTGCCAGAAGAGTGGCTAGCCAGGGATGCTTGAGTCCCTCTGAGCCATGGAGGGAGTCACAACAGCATATGGCAGCTCTGACGTGCCTTTCAGACCATTGGTAGCTTTATCCTCGTAGCTTTCTGTCAGATCGGGTGCCCCTG